CTATGGCATCTGTTTGGGATGTCAGACTCTCTTTTGATTGAATCTGGTCTGACCCTCCACCACCTTCTCTTTTTTTTATCACTTAAAACATTGTGTTAGTTTCGTCCATTAGAACCATAATTTCAGCGGTGTTACTTAGTTCGATATTTTATTAATTCAGTAATTATGAAATTATTTTCATCCACTTCAGGAGAATAACTAAAAAATCCCCTGGTCTTAGTTTATTAATAATTCCCAAAGCTATAAAGGTCATTATAAAACTATGCGTCACGTAAATTAAGATCTCGTGCAAAATTGTTATTAAATGAATAAAAATTTAGCAAAATTTTAAAAGATGAAACTTACAAATTATGAAATCACTTTTGTTCCGGCCTTGATCAGTTACATTAATATTCTTTGACATTTATAATATTTGTGGTCAAATAACAAATAACGATAAACAAGTTGCTTATCCGAATATATTAGTTATATAACTGATAATAATAGTTTAGTTACAAATAATAATTATGAAGCCAGGATCGCAAATTTTTTCCACACTATTTTTTTTAAAAAAAAAATTTAATAAATTCAATGAGGTTACATACTACATACAGGTCGTGATCAACTTTAGTTAATTGTCATGTAACAACTTTTTTTTTGATTTTCTGACTAATACAGTATAAACTATTGATTATTGTTCGCGTTTATTAGCGTTAAATGACAAGGATCGCAAGAAATCACGTAATGTGTGTGTTTATCATTATATAAATACCATAACTTCTTTTTATCTTACAATTTCAAATTATAGTTATACCCAAATTTATCATAGACGAACCGTAACGACGATTCCTTTGACAATTTTGAAAGATGTGTTAATAAACCTGAAACCTCTAATAAGGAGGCTTGCACCAGGGAAATGATGGAATTGCAATCAAAGAACTATTCGAAAATATGATGAACCATGCATGGGAATTTTTAAAATTTATAATGAATGGAATTTATTGACGTCCTCTCAACAAATTGAAGGACATCTACTTGATAATGATTTGATGAGTCGTGTTCATTATGAATAATATTTTTAATAAGATAACGTTACGATTAGAAGCAAAGATAGAAAATTCAAGAGCAGAGATTAAAAAAAAAAAGGCAGAGATCGAAAATCAAGGCTCAGAGAAAAAAATAAGCATTATATTCAAGAAGTAAGAACATTTCTGAATGAAATTATCTTCCCTAAAATCTTAAAATTACAAAAAAAAAAAAAAAAATCTTTTAAAAGCTTTTAGAAGATTCAGAAATGATAGAGACCGACCGATTTTAATTGACCGATCGTTTAGTATTATCTAAAAAATATGTATTTAACTTTATATATTTTATTATTTCAAGATAAAGAATGAGAAATAACTCTTAGTATTAAATTTCATCCAACAATAATATTTTTGACCCAGGCAAAATCATTTGCTTGCGCTCATTCTAATATGACGCATCTTTGATTTAAATTTAACATTTTTGGCTTGCATGAAAGATTTTATTTAGCCAAATATTCCAAATATTTAACAATTCTAACATAACATTTGTTAAAACTTCTTTATAAAAAATAATTATTTCCTTTAAGTCATATGTATATTTGATGGCGCAGAATTATCGCGGTCCTTTAATATTTTCCCAAAATTTCAAAATATTAATTTATAATTAAAAATAAAAATAGTTAGTTATGTTAATTTAAATATAAAGTGTACTACAACTTTATTAAAAATGGCTGTTCAGCCAGTCAAAATCTCAAACCAGTCAACCGGTCAGTAAACCTTTAACCGACAGATATCGGTCACCTGACTGTTTTTTGAATATATTAAAAACGAATTTTATGAGTTGAGTCAGAAGAAAAGATGGTGTGATCCATTGGTAATAAATGAAGTAGTTAAATACCAAGCTCTATTTCACTTAAAATTTTCCATTGTAACAAGATTTATTGGTAACATTAATCGCGAAGTGGATCGATAAAAAAGGATCTTGTGAAAGCTCGGTACAATAAATCTAACGCCACAAACTTTCCATGATGAATAGATAACATATTATATACTCAATAAATGGAAAGACACCACTGGCTGACAAAAAATAATTGAAGCTACCTATCAATTGGAAAAGGATGTTTTGAACTTGATGATTAAATCTAACATCAGAAAGCTTTATTATCTTTTCAAGCGAAAATATACATGGAGCAAATCATCGGTTGATTTTTTTTGCGCGGAAATGTTTGTTTCTAAGACTTATTTAAAATCCAGCGGTGTGATGCTTAAAGTTTGACGAAGGTATGAGATTTGTTTATCATGAATTCTGTCTAAACGAATGAAGACTAGCAAGGCAATTACAAAATTGAAGTGTGAAAGATTTCAAGTCAAATACCATCTCGCATTGATTCTCCTGTCACTCAAATATTAAATGATGACGAACTTGTAGCATTAATTGATGAAAAAGATATGGAAGATATATGCCGAATTTGACATTTCAAATTTATTCTTTTTGTTTCGCATGAAAGAACGTCCAATTTCTTACGATTAATATTATTTACAATCTATTGCCAACGATAAAAGGTCACCATGGGCCTTCACTAATGGTAATGAGGATCGAAAAATAATCGAGATTTACCAATAAAATGTTCACACATAAGAAAGTTTTATTTTCTCGAGTAAAGTATCCTCCATTAAGTCGAGTTAAAAAATAATGCGATTATTCAAGCAAAGACATACCCTAGCGATGATTTGGGTTTTATTTAATTTACATTCCGATGAACAAGATTACGGATGTTGAAGATTTCCTTATGTCAAGTTGTTAATGGATTTTTATGGACCGCCAACTATGCAGATATAAGAATGATAAATAGAAAATATTCGGGGTCATTAAAACAAAGTGTCCATCTTAGAAATTTTTAAATGCAATGAATCAATAAATTTATTAAATGTCTTATTTAAAATAAATATTAACTTATTATTTTACATTGTTCAAATATCGTTGCGCGGATATGAAAATTTAACAGATGACCGGTTCCAACCTCTAGTCACGGTTATTTCCATAGAATATAATTTGTAAAGCCCCAACAGAAGTCTCTTTCGGGTTGGATTCTTCTACGATCTGCTGCGGTAAGCTTTTTCTTTCCTTTTTTGTATTTTTGTATTTTTGTTGACATTTTCTTTATCTTTAACTAAAACATAGTAGTAGTCGTGATGCGGTGTTATACATGTTGTCACATTACCCGTGTTCATACATGCTTTAAATTTTTTATTGAATGAGCGTGGTTGTGCTTATTGGCATTTGGCTATGTGTCCTTATTGCATAATATTTGCGACACATGCAGCATGCACTGTCAATGGTGAATAGTATATTTTTCTTTACGTTATCTTTAGAATACAAAAATTATTTCATCTTTAAAATAAATTTTTAAGAATGTAATGAAAAATAATTACTGTATCCAACACGAATTTCGTCAAATATTTGTAGAGTCAAGGCGTCATCACCTTAAAACAAAAACTCAGTAAGTACAATTAAATATTTGTTCAAACGATCTTAGTTGTCATTTGTTATAATAAAGTGACCAATTAGTTTGATAAAATATTTACTATATTATTGAAGTCCTTCAAGGAAATTATTTCAAAAATGAAATTCTTTAAGGAAAATGTTTCAGAAATGAAATCCTTGAAAATCATTCTGAAAATAAAATCCTTCAAGAAAAATGTTCTGAAAATAAAATCCTTTAAGGAAATTGTTCTTAAAATAAAATCCTTTAATGAAATCATTTCAGAAATAAAATCCTTTAAAGAAAATGTTCTGTAATTAAATTCTTTCAAGAAAATCATTTTGGAAGTGAAATTCTTTTATAAAAATTGCTCTAAAAATGTTTTTTTCAAAGGGAATCATTCCAAAAATGTTTCTTTTGATAGAAAACATTCTGGAAACATTCCTATCAATAAGAATTATTCTGAAAATGTTTCTCTTGAAGGGAATCATCCTAAAAATGTTTCTTTCAAAAAAAATTATTCAGAAATATTTCTCTTAAAAAACTCATTCCAAAAATATTTCTCTCGTAAGAAATCATTCCAGAAATATTTCTCTTAAAAGGAATCATTCTGAAAACATTTTTCTTAATAGAATTTCATTTTGATATATTAAATGTAACCTGAATGAACCAGTTTAAAATAACTTAAATTATTGATTGATCTCTCAAGCCAAGCTTAGTTAAGCCAAAAAAAGTAGCTCAGCTTAAGCCAGTGGCAAGCTAAGCTAAGCTAAGCTAGCTTATGCAAAGCTTTAGTAAATATTATCTTTTGAAAGATTAGTAGAAGAATGATATCAACAATATTTGACTAATGCAGAGGTTTAAATAGTAACTATTAAAGATTTCTTAATTATTAGGTTGTTTAATAAGTTTAGGGATAGAGGTTCTAAATTCTGTAAATAGATCAGTTATTTTCTTAGAATATTAGGTTAAATTGAATTATAAATAATATCAAGACTAAAAATCAAAGTTTTCTGGATATTCAAAATCTTTTTTAATAGGATAACAAATTAAATAAGATATATCAGGTATGATCTTAAGTTTAAGGATTCTTTAATGATAATCAAATGATGTAAACTATCTTGTACTCAATTTCTATCTGCAAAACTTATATACTTTCTTATATTTGAATCCTAATAGGAATTATCACTTTTGTTACTGTAAAATTCTTTAATTTGAGTTGGTTATATCTTTAAATCTCTACTTGAGATTACTAACTGCAACTTACTGCAGTTATAATATTAGAATTTGCTTAACTCTTAACTTTACTAAATTTATACATTAATCTTAAATAAATCTATCAAATATGAAGACTTGAAAGATAAGGTTATGAACAATTTAATTAAAAATTAAAATGATAAACTCAACTCAATTACAAATAATGTGTAAAAATTATGTCAGACTATATGTAAATATGAAAAGGCAGAAAGATATAAATTTTAATTGATTTCTTTATTATATCAAAACTTGTATTTACAAAAGAATTTGTAGATCTGCAAAAAATTTAATTTACAACATAAGTAAAAATCTATCTATTTATACAAAATTTCTTTTATTATGGTTAATTATTTACTATACTATAAACTAACTAATTTAATAAATAAAATATTAATATACTAAAGATAAAAATACGTAAAATAATAAAAATATAAAATATAATAAAAATAAAAATAAAAGGTAAAATATTAAGAATTTATATAAAAATTGAATATTTTTAGACCTTATTTAATTTGTGAAATTAAATTATTATTAGTATTTAAAGATCTGTAAAATTATATAAATTTTCTGTATTTTTAGAGTTCGTAGAATTCTTAGTATTTTCAGAATTCAGAATTAAGAGATTATCATACTGTGTCATCTATATAACTTCATTATTATTGGTTAATTGCTCTGTTAACAATATTTATTGTTAAAAATAAAAATAAGATATTGAATATTAAAAAAATCAACAATCATTATAATATTTTTTTCTTTTAAAAAAAGTATGATCAGATCATAAGATAAAGTTAATGAAGGAGTAGCAAAAAGAAAAAAAATCTTTTAGAATTTATTTTAAATCTATTATTCAAATATTTCTATTTTTAAAAAAAATTCTAGGTTTTTAAAGATTATTATAAAATTATACTAAATATAAAAAACATAATGCAATTCTTTTTTATAAAGGTGGTAATTTAGGCAATTTTTTGCATATATTATTAAATATTGTAATACTTTTTAAAATATAAAAAAAATGTTTTAGTGTAAAATTTTTAGAATTAATTTTTATATTTTAATTAAAATTGTAATCAAATTTTGCTAAAATAAGAATAATAAAATAATAAATAAAAAGGTAATATATTTTGTATTATTAATAGTATTAATAAAGTATTAGATTTTTCTTATATATTTTAACATAAAATAAAAATTAATTATATTAAATTATCTTTATAATATTGCTTTTAAAATTAGTAATATTAATCAATTGCTTTTATTATCATGCTTTTTTCAGACTCTATCTCAGAAAAATTATTTTCTATATTGCTTATATCTTCATAATTATCATTTTCTTTTGAAATATTAAGTTAAACCAATTTTTTTGCACTTGTAAGCATATTATCATAAAATTTTCATTTTACGGAATTTAGGCTGGCATCAACAAAATTGGCCAGAATAACATAAATTTTGGCCAAAATTATGATTTATTAATCGGCGATTTTAGCCGATTTAAATTGCATACCCAATGCCAAAATTTTATTATAGCAAACATACATATTAAAAAATTTGCCTTTAATTTTTGTGACATTTCCAGTGACAGATTTCAAAAAAAGTTATCTTTCTAATAAAACACGGCAGAAGAAGGAAGTAAAAAAAAAAAATCTAAAAATTTATAACCCAGTAAATCATTCCGACAAGCTTTGTAATGAAAAGGTTATTTTACGTAGTCTCATCTTTCAAAACCATGAATTATAGAAGTATTACCGGAAATTCTTATTATTTCATTTTGTTTTCGCATTTGATACCATTTATAGCCAAAAAATCCAATTGTCATTAAAATTGCGGTACCTAAAATTCCGCTTAATGTACCAATTACAACTTTCATTATATTTAATTGATCATCAGTAGTTTTTGGAGGAGCCGAAGATGTTGTAGTTGTATTTTTTGAAGGAGGATTCGGTAAACTTGTATTTGAAGGTGTAGATGTACTTTCAAGTTCAAATTTATTAACCCAAGTATAATTTCTAGTATCCAACAAATAAATATTTTTCGACAAAGAACGTATTACTACTCCTTTTGGATTAGTAATACAACCTGTATATTTCAATAAATTATATATTAGGTTATTTTAAAATAGAAATAAAAATACTAAATATTACGTATAAGGACTTACCAAAAGCAACAATCATATAACTAGATGTGCTGTATGATAAGCAAGTGATGGAAATTCATCAATATTTGAGTAAGTTTGTGGTACGGTCCATTCAAATGGATACTTTTGAGTATTCAAAACAGCCAGATTTGGGATGGCTTTAATAGATTTAGTATCGTCTTCGCCTTTCATCCCACCATTTATAATTATCTTTCCATCTTGTACTATATAATTAATAAAAGAATGTTATTATGTGTCAAAATAATATAACAATAATAAATTATACCTAATACGGCTGAATGACCATAACGGGATTCAAGGTCAGTACTTATTGCTTGCTTAAATAAATTTTTAATTTATAAATTTTAATTAATTATTTAAGCAATATTAATTAGCGCCATTAAATATACTTACCATCACTGACCACTTTTGACGTATTGTATTATAAATATTAATTTGGTTAATATCTACTACACTCCCCATATTATTATAATATACTTCCCAACCCCCAATGTATACAATCATACCATTTGGTAAAAATGTTGCAGTATATAAATATCGTCTTAAAGGATTACCAGTAACATATGAATAAATAGTTTTAAACTCATTAGGAATTAATTTTAGCAAAGTATATGAATATTCTATTCCATTTGCCATATCATCAAGTCCATCAAATATATAAATAGCTCCAGTATTATCAGTAACATCAACAACAGCTTGAATATTTCTTCGCCTTAACGTTAATGGCAAATCATAATTAGACCATTGCCCAGAATTTGGATCAAATGTGTGTACTAGTGAAGCAAAAGAATCTCCACCATTTTGATTTAAAGATACTCCTCCAATAAGGTATATTATCGGGTTACTATTATTATCATTTAATGCAACGGTAGTTGACCAGCCACTTCTAAATCCTATTCCTGAATTTAATGAAAGATCGGTCCATGGCGGTAATGACGTATCAAATTGTTGAGACACATCAAGATAGAATACTTCATTTGTATAAGTAAGTCCATTATGTCCACCAAAAAAATATAGCTTATTCCCAACAAGGACAGATGAATGACCATAACGTTCTGCTGGCGTAAATGACTCAACACAAAGGAGCAAATGAATTAATATGAAAATAAAGCGTAGCTTAAGTAATATATTATATTTTATGCACATCATAATTCAATTAGTAAAGTAATTAATTAATTTTTTAAAAATATATTATTTTTTAATCCTTTATTTATTAAATTTTACCATACCATTGATGCGCAGATAATTTTTTTTTTGGCGTACGCCATAAGAATGTTGTGTAACTTAATTTTAATTCGTAACACTTTTTTTTTGACAAATCATAGAAAATACAGATTATCATATATGTAATTGAAAGATTTCAGGCATTTAATATAGGACTGGTATGTTGACGATTATCTAAAAATAATGTTTCTTGTGGAAGGACGCTTGCAGAAGTTAAATAATACAATTGTTCTTCATTTCGGACCCCATAACTCATGTTCGAAAGTTACATAAAAGGTATGACCGCATGAAGGTAAATTGCTGAACGAAACCAAATAATGGATAGTCAAATGAAGTAATTTTTACAAATATTATATTTACTATAAATGGGTTCGAGTAGGGATGTTAAAATCCAGTCCGGTCCTAGTCCGGTCCCGAAACTCCCAGTCCTAAAGAAGACCCGATCCATAGGACTTGGGTCCTAGGACTGGATTCTAGTCCTAGGACCGCGGTCCTATAGAAATTAGGACATGTGGTCCTAGGACTCGATCTTATAGAAATTAGGACATTCGGTCCTAGGACACGGTCCTATAGAAAAATAATCGTTCAAGAAGAACGATGAGGAATCGTTCGACTTGAACGATATAAAAAAATCGTTTAAGAAGTACGATAAGAAATCGTTCGACTTGAACGATTATTTTTTTTTAGGACCGCAGTCCTAGTCCTAATTTCTATAGGACTGCAGACCTATAGTTCAAAGGACTTTGAACTGGACCGAACTTCGTAGGACTGTTTAGGACCTAGTCCCATTGGACTTTTTAACATTCATAGGTTCGAGATTATAACTTCGAATATTGAAAGGTATCCATTTCCAATGAAACATATCATGCAAGTTTTACAAATATTACCAACCAGAATTTAGTATAGATTAAAGTTTCCAAAAAAAAATTTAAGAATTGAAATATAAAATATTGTACAAGCATAATAAATTTTAGATTCTCGTAACTCGGACTTGCCAAGATTTCAATTTTTTATCACGTTTTATTATTATATAACTAAACTTAAAACTTTATTTGAGTTAATTTTATAAATCTACTCCGAAAACTATTTTTATTGTTTTTATTTATTTGAGCTGTACGCATACAAAAAAATATAATTTTTTTCAATCGCATAAATTTATTTGATGCTTGTGTAACACCATTTTTTTATAAAAAATAAATCCGTGTTCACGTTAATTATTATGTTACGGGAAACTAACTGTTTTTATTTTCGGCCTTACTGCACTCCTTATTCAAATTCATTTATCATACTTTCTATTATTTCCTTAAAAATATTATCGTTAATATATGTACAAGAAATTTTCCGTAAAATAAATTTAGAATTGTTTAAATCAAATTACGTCCAGGTTCATATATGGGAAGTTTGCTAGGTAAATCAGGTTCCGAGAATTTTTTTGACTAAAATTAAGACCTTATTACATTTTAATCTAATAACATCAAAAACTAAAATGCAAAAAAAAATATCAAAATTTTGTTATAAATTCACAGAGCCTGATATTCCTAGCAATCTTCCCATATAATAAACAGTAATTTAGTACAAGATTTGTGCGAAACCCGAAAGAACTAAAAAAAATTTGTATGAAATAACGTTTTAAAGAGCCAGCCGAAGAGGGTACAAGATTTTTTTTTGGTAAAGGAAAAGAAATAATTCGATTGTTGCGCCCATCCAAAACTAAAATAATCAAAAGACCTCTTGAAAAATGATTTATTTTTTGGTTAAAAAAAATTTTTTTTTGGTTACCTCCGCGTTCAATTATGATCAAAAATCGCTGTGTCAGAACCTTAAAATCGAAAACTCGGGAAAATATTAATCGCGATTAATGGATTCTAAAATCGATTCTACTCTTTTGTATCGATTTCAATCCCTAGTCGTGGGTTCGAGTCACGTTATAATTAATAAAAATAACTTGCCAACTATTAAATATTTTAAATGAAAATTTATTTGAATTTTAATTATAAAAATAATTTACCATCTATTGTATTAAATAAATTTTAATCAAAAATTTAGTTGACCATCTATTGTATTACTAATTAAAATTTTAGTTGAATTTACATTGCAGTAAAATTTTTAATTAACGTTATATAATAATAAAAGATATTGATTAAATATTTTTTATATAAAAATTTAATCGAAATTAAATTGCAGTATAACCAATAAAAATAACTTACAATCTAAATTAAAATATTAAATATTTTAAATAAATTAAACAAATTAATTTGATTCAATCAACTAATATATGTAACTTACTTTCTGTTAATATTATCAATATATATTAACGTTAATATAGTTATTTATTATAGTAAAAATTTATAATTAATTGAATTAAAAAGCAAAAATAACTTACGAACTATATATAATATGTTGAATAAAATTTAGTTGAGATTAAAATTATTATATAAAATATAATTAATTAATAAAAATAACCTTACCGACTAAATGTCGTTAACCATTTAAAAATTGATTTTTAATGAATTAAGTTTAAATTGTAATATAAAGAATATCAATAACATACTCCCTAGTATTATTAATCATTAGTTATATAAATAAAAAGTGTAGTTGAATTTTAATTATACATGATATATTGATAAGAAAATTAAATGTCCTACATTTAATTATAGTATGACCTAGCAAATAGATGAATGTTCATTACCTTTTAATGTAGGAGCAACAGGATAGAAGAAAATAAATTTTTTTCAATTTAAATTTTTATTTTATTCTCGATAATTTTCGTAAAAAAATATGTCAACTCGAAAGAATAACCTAAAGTCACAATTTCCTGAAGAAACTAAAAAAAAACCGACTTACCTTATATTTGCAAACTTGCGAAGCAAAACGATACGAAGAGGAAACCTAAAAGGAAGGCAGGACACAAGTATACAAAGAATCGGTCGATTGTTACGCCCTGAAGTGTCGGACCTTTTTTCCTTATTGTTCTGACCAGCAAAGATAATCGAATACGAGACTTTATCGATAAAATTTAGTAAATCGGTGATATTATATATGAACCTCCTCCGCTTTGTTAATCAAATTGATTTGAATTATATTTTGAATTATCGTAAAATTTTATATTTACATTAAAATGTCAAATATATTTCATTTTTAAAAATTCTTTTTTTTCACTTGGTAGCCATGAAAGAATTTATCAGTTTATTTTTTATAAATTATAACGTTTCCATTTCCTCATAATCACATTTATAGATTACAGTCGCCACTGGATATAACGAACCAGCCGTTCCAGAAGATTTGGTTCGGTATAGAGTGAGTTCATTATAAATAGTATTAATAATCAGGTCAAATAGTAGCGCTGGCCAGAATTATTAATTCATGCAACATAAATTTCCTTTTGTTGATATTTCTTTATGGTATTTAAACGAATCCATAGAGTTACTCTATTGGAGCCAGAACCTAATCATTTTACTTGTACAAAACTGTTTTAACCATTTTTATTTAATGTCAAAAAAGGCTCGGTATAACCAGTGCCGATTGTATTTTTTAAAAGGGATTAATTTTTAATTTTTATTTTTTTTAAAAATATATTTCAATATTATAAATACTTGGAAAAATTTAATAAAATTGTTGTCATATGGTATCAGATTCAGCAGAACCTGAATGATTTTTTGGAAGTGTATCTTGGTTTAAAAAATGGGTTAAGAAATAAGACTCCTTTCATTTATCGATCAACATTCCATTTAAAAGGATTAATTTGCCTCTTTAAACGCTCTGCAGTTTATGAAATCTTGGAGAAGATGGTTTTATTTGATTAAGTACTTAGTTTTTGTATAATAACTATGAAATTCAAAAAGATGGATTTCTTGACGAAGTAATTCTTATTAAATAGCCTCGTTTTGAAAGCGTAACATAAACAAAAACAACTCATAAGTCTACAAAAAAATGAAGACAGATGAACATGACAACAAAATTTCTTCAATTTTGACTGTAACTGTCGTAGTTGTGGTGAAATTATGTTAATCGTTAAAAAGGTAAACATTAAATCATAAGTGGCGTAGTATGATTAATGTAATCTGAAGTAGCTAGATTGCATTATTCTGAGTAAAAAATTAAGTAGCTGTTTAGACTTGTATTTAATTTATTTAATTTCCGCAATTATTAAAGCAAATATTAACAATAAATTGACCCAACAAAGATTCCTATTCATTTTTTGCTATTAAATCGAATTATGAACAGACGAACATAGCGTCGCCCGTAAAAAATGGTAGCTGGATTTTATTTGCCGGGTGTTTATTATTAGGGTTAGTATTAGAGTTAGGATTCGGATTAGAATTAATATTAAGGTAGAATTAGGATTAGTTGAAGGGGTTAGCAAAATTGTCACATCGCGTCACACTCCAGCCGTTCTTCAATTTACTAAGTGTTCTGTGGACAGAACTTTTTTATGATAAAAATGCTAATTGTCACAATTATATGTCACTCCTAATAAGCATATGTGACCCGGAAAATAAAATCCGGTTACCGTTAATATTGTTTATTTAACTAGGTAATGGGAACCGTTGAAGCGTCCGAAACGTTCAGATTATTTGATCATAAATATTTAATTTTCTTTTTTATTTTGCAAAAAACGTTCAAATTATATTCTATTTCATGTATTTTATTTGTTATTACATTAACATTTACAATTGACTTTTTTTTTAAACGACTAATGTCAACGAAAATACAACGTGATTTGTAATGATCGGTTATTTTTAGCTTGAAGGAAAATTTTCATTTATTTATTTTTTATAATTTCAGTGTTTGATGTAAACTAAAAAAGTCACCTGATCCAGATTTTGATTGGCTATATCACGCGTGCGGACAGCCAAACCCCACGTGATCATAGAAATATTTGTCACACGGGAAATTTGACCATTTTTCGTCACATGTTTTTAGAAAATTAGTGGTCAGATACTTATGACTGCTACTGTAATTGAAATAGTTCTTTATGTCAACTTTATTCAGAAATTGAATTACGGCTAAATATTCAAGACTAAGAATTTCGTAATACAGCTACTACTTGAATGTCACTAGTTTCTAATACTATTTTTAAACCCATTGATAAAATTTGTAAGAAGTATTTTATACCAAATTACTAGCTTTATAAGCAAATGGTTAAGCTCTTTTATACAGAACTTGGATTAAAAAAAACTAGCAATATAGAAATGCAGCAAGTAATAGTTTATATTAATTTATTTTTGATCATAACGATAATACTAGATAGATAAAATTTAATTTTTTGAAATTTAGAATGAAAATCAATATAATATAGGATTTATTAAAGATGAGTTTAAATAGTATCATAAAGGAAATCTGAGAGATTAAATACATTAAAGTACATCAAATTGGGCATAATTTGTTGTACTACTTGACAATAGCACTCATTACTGTACTTGTCACTATCTGATTTATGCTGAACTTGTGTGTAGGCATTTTTTGCGGTAATATACAGTCTAAAAAGGCTCAATTTAATATTAAGCTGATTCCTTCATATTGGTACTCTAAAGAAGGTCTTACTGCAACAGATTTTTTTGAAAAATCAATTCACCTTATTCAACTTTTTTCATGATGAATACTATTTATGGGCAAGATGTTTATAGTGATTCTGTTAAATAATTTGGATTCAAAAAAAGAACAGTATGAGCGTGGCCTTGGGCTCTGTAAGAAAACTTTGAATATAGCGATTGAGAATAAGTCTTCTCATACTTTTAAGGAGCTTTTAAAACAGTTTATTGAAACACAAATGAATATGACCCAAAATGATACATCTAATGAAGCTCAAACATTTAATATTGCAAACCCTCTTCAACATAAAGGATAGAGGAGACCAACTAATAAAAGGTATCTATCAGCTATTGAGAACAATTCAGGTAACAAAAGTAACGATATTCAAGAAGAAATTTTAGATGAAAAGAGAAAGAAAAATAAAAGAAAATGTTCTATTTGCAAATCATGGTATCATGATTCGCGAAATTACCTGAACACTAGTAAACATTGAGTGTGATAAAGAAAATGTATAAGTGGAAATGGGCTCGAAATACTACTGTAATTCAAGCCTGTAGGCTTGAATTACAGTAGTATTTATTTCGAGCCTGGCTCCCTTCGGTCGCCGAAAAGTTTAAAAGCTTAAAATTTTACTGCGTTGTAACCATTGATTATGCAAATTCAATTTTAAAACTTTACTAACGCGTTGCGGTTATTATTAAAATTGCCTTTTGCATGTTTGTATTAAATTACACAATAAAAATCATTGTGACGGGGGTAGGATATGGATATCCACCCGTAACAAGAAAATTTTTTTCAAAGTTATTAATGCCAAATAATTATTTTTTTGCCTAATAAACAACAAAAAAATCACGGGATACCGGATAAAATATTTACCTAACTTGTACAATTACTGATTTTAGTCAGTGAGATCACTTTTTTGATATTAAAATAAAAAAAAAAAAAACGATTTACATTCAATTAATTCAATTTTTTAATTTCCAAAAAATTATTCTTTTTTATCGTATTGATAGTAATGATTTAAAATTGTTCTATTATCTCGTAAGCATTATTATTTCCAAAAAAAAAAAAAAAAAAAAAATAACGAAATTATCTAACAACTTTTATGAGCCTGATCGACTGATAGTTTACAATCCAAGTTACACAATTCTACAACAGAAGCAGTAAAATATAAATTTCCATTTCCAAGAATAGTAATTAAGAAAAAATTTCTTTCCCCAAATATATGTATATATATTTTTTAACCATCATTATGTCAAATAATATTATAACTCCAATTGCAGAAAATACAAATGAGGGGATTTCTTGGATTGAAGAAGCTATTGATAAAAAGTATATAAAACACTATGAATATGACCTTTTTGATAATATTCAAGAAATTGGTTCCGGAAGTTTTGGAAAAGTATTCCGTGCGAATAGGAAAAATAACGAACAATACTTGGTATTAAAGTCGTTTTTTGATCTCAATCGTACCACTACGAAAGAAATTATTCGCGAGGTAATTATGAATTATTTCATTTAATATATGTTTATGTTTTTGGTTTTGTTATATTGCGCTCGCTGTTATATTCATTCATTAAATTATTTTACAATAGATTAATCATCATCGGGAAGTAGATTTTCATATAAATGTTATTCGATTTTATGGAATAACTAAACTTGGGTCTGGTATGGATTTATTATCATTAAATATTTTATTATTCATCATTTTAAATTACAATCTAAAGAATAATAATTCTATTATTATTAGAAAATCAAAGTAATCATTTTAAAATGTATTTATTGGTAATGGAATATGCTGATGGGGGCACACTTCGAGACTATTTAAAGGAAAACTTCGATAATCTAACCTGGAATGAGAAATACAAATTGGCAAATCAATTGACCTGTGTTTACATGATGAGGGAATTGTACATCGTGATTTGGTAATTGATGCAATATACAATGAATTATATTTGCAAAATATAATTATTTATTATTTATTTATTTAATATATTTGATCTTAGCATTCAAAAAATATTTTAGTCCATCAAAACAACATCAAATTAGCCGACTTTGGACTGTCAAAGAGGATTGAAGAAGCGTCACATTCTCAATCAAAATTATTTGGTGTGATTCCTTATATCGATCCAAAGAGGTTCAATGGAAATCAAGCATATAAATTAAATGAAAAAAGCGATGTTTATAGTGTTGGTGTATTATTATGGGAAATATCAAGTGGACTTCCACCATTTTACACCGAAGGTAAGCCATATGATATTGGTTTAACTCTGGATATTTTACAAGGTCTTAGAGAAAAACCTGTTCCTGAGACTCCTGATGAATACGTTGAACTTTATGTTGGTAAATATTTTAAAGTTAAATTATTTACATTTGAGACATTACTTTGAATTTTAACAAATTTCATGGATTACCCTTAGGTTGTTGGGATGGTGAACCAAAAAATCGACCAGGTATGTGTAAAGTGGTAGAAAGGTTAAGGATGATAATTGCACAACCAACTTTGACAATTGATGACAACCCAAATGAAATATTTGATTTTCCGGCTGGTAAAGATATGCCTTTAGTTGACAAAGATGATTCATCGCATGGAGTATTATCAAAAGCTATTAAAAATTTTTTCGAATATAATACAGACGACATAATTAATCTTTTAAACAATTCAAATGATGATTTTTTATCTATAAATGATTTAACTACAACGGTCGACGAGATAGTCACTTTCATTTTTAAAGAACTAAATAAAGGAAAATTTTTGATGTTAAATGAAAAACCGGTTCTTGAATTTGTTAATAATCAAGATGTCACTTCACATGAAATTTATGATTGGCTTTCGAATAATCAAATTGAATCAAATTCTATCTTTTTATTCGGATATTTTAATTTTTTTGGAATTGAAACAAGTAAAAATTATGAGAGAGCATTTAATTTATTTATTAAAGCATCAGAACAAAATCATATATTAGCACAGCGCTATGTTGGTAGATGCTATGAAAATGGACATGGTGTTACAAAGGATGAAAAGTTAGCTTTTAGATATTATGAAAAAATAGCTAATAAAAATTTTGCAATAGGACAATTAGGAATTGGATTTTGCTATTCAAGAGGGATAGGTATTAAAAAAGATTTAAAAATGGCTGTTTATTGGTATGAACTAGCAGCTAATAATGGAAATATAACTGCTATTTATAATCTTGGTAATTGTTATTATAGTGGTATAGGGGTTAGACAAGATTATTTTAAAGCTTTTGAATTATTACAAAATTCATCTGATCAAGGACAAAGAGAGGCTCAGTATTATCTTGCTAATCTATTTAAAAATGGATATGGAATTAATAAAGATTTAGATCAAGCGATTTATTGGTATACAAAATCAGCTAAACAAGAACAAAAGGAGGCTCAATATAGCCTTGCAATTATATATGAAAATGGAAAAGAAATAGATCAAGATATGAATAAAGCATTTTATTGGTATAAAATGTCTGCCAAACAAGGACATATATATATACAAAATAATCTTGCTAATTTATATATAAAAAATAATAATATAGGCAAGGCGATATATTGGTATAAAGAATCTGCTAAACAAGGAAATCAAATAGCACAAAATAATCTTACTAATTTATGTAAATTTATATTAAAAAAATAAGAAGTTAGATAAAACAAAATGATTGGATAAAAATCAGCTAAACAAGAATTTCAAATAAATCAAAATAAACTTTAAACAAAAGAAATAATTTATGCATTATTATTAAAGTTATTATTTTATATTAAATTTATTGTAAAAATTATCAATTAAAAATAATAGATACTAAGAATTATACTATTTATTTATTTTATATTAATAATTTATTAGATATAAAAATTTTAGAATTTATTAGTAATATTAATTATTAATCTTATAAAACAAAATTTAATAAAGTTCATTACTAAAAAAATATAATATTTTAAATACTTTGGTAAAGTTAATTTAATAGTTATTTAAAATATATTATATGATTTATGAAATAATTTATAAAATATATGCTTTAGTATAATAAATTATTATATATAAAATATAACTTTTTAAAATAATGATTATTACCGCATATAGTATTCCCTAAAAATATACTCCCTGTGATTAATACCTGAATACTATTTACTAATTATATTGATCCAGTCACAAATAGTACTCAGATATTTTTCAAAGTTAAACTTTATAAAAATTGATTAATACTAGACTTAATTATAAATTATTCACTAATAAATAAATGCATTCTTAAAATTATTAAAGGCTAATTTTATAAAATTTATAAATAATTTATTTTACAGAATATTACAGTTAAAATTTATATAATAAATTTAATGTCTAGACTGATCAGAATTTTATTATAAAAATTCGTTAATATTATACTAAATTATTTAGTATATTAGATGATATTTATTTATTAAATTTATGTAATTGTAACATTTATATACAATATCTCTTGTATATTGTATTTTTTTAAAATAGAATCTAATTTCTTATTTAGTATCTATAAGTACTATTCAATTTAAAAAATCACATTTTTGACTAAGATCTTAGGTACTGTATACAGTGGCATACAGTATATTTTAGATAAAATATTTAATTAACTATAAAAATTATAAATTTAATTTATTAGACTTAAATGCTAAAAAATTTATTTTTGCTAAATATTTTATTTTTATTAATCATTATTTAATTTTATAATTAAGATTTATAATAAATTTTAAATAAGGTAACTTGATAATAAATTAATCATTTTTCTAAATATGTATTGTAATTATAATTGTAAATTTTATATAGTTAAATCATAAAATACAATAATATATATATAAACAGTATAAAATAATAATAAAAACTATTTTATACCTTATTAACAATAAAATTAATTTCATTTTTAAAATTTTTAATTTAATAAAGAAAGTCATATTATTAAAATTATATAACAAATTTTATAAATACTAAATAATTATTATTTTTATTATTATTTATTTTACCTTATATACTTTATTTAGTAATAGATTTCAAAATATAAAATTAAATCTATTATAATTTTTAAAATTAAATAATAACTAAATTTATAATAAATATAACTTAGTATTTATATTATTTTAAGTATTTCAATAAACATTTTTTAATAACTGATTTTTGTAATATCTATAATATTATAAAATTAAATATTATTAAAAAAAATTATATTTATTTATTATTAATATATACTAATATATAAAGAAAATATAATATTAATACAATTAATAAAATAAAAAAATTTTAAATTTAAAAATAATTTTTAATTAATATTCTTAAACTGAAAAAGAAATATTCTATACATTATTTATTAATAAATTAAATTAAATATATAATCACAGTTAGTAAATATAATTATATATAATTACAGTTAGTAAACATATTATATTAATATAAGATCAATATTTTTAAAATAATAAATCATTTTTTATCTCAAACAATTAAATAAAGAAATATTCTAATATCATAATAACAGATAATAAACTTTTATTATCAAGAACTTATTTTTTTATTAAACAATTAGTAAAAGTAAATAATAATAATTAGAGGAATTTGTTTGTCAATAAAAATATAGCAAACTTGCTTATATTACCTTATTGATTATTTATCAATCATATACAAATAAATTATCATATTATATAAAATTAGCTGATTCTAAATTAAAAGCTTTGAGCAATATAGCATATGATCAGACAAATTCTATAAATTAATAAAATCAATATTTTAAATCATATAAAAAGTGTAATAAATAAGTTAGCTTAGGGTTGAAATAAAAAGTTCAGTAAATTACATAATAAATTAATTTTTAGATTCTAAGATTTAGGAAAAGCTATAAATACGTAGTCAAATTATGTTAACCATAATATTTAATATTTTAAGTTATGTAGAATATAATATAAAAGTATATCAATAAAATTTTAAGTAATACAAAGTTAGCTTTAAGTTAACTTTTAGAATATTTTATATATAAATTATATGTTATCATAAATATTAATAATTTAGATTTCTAAAATTTGAATAAAGCTATAAATACATGATTAAACTATACTAATTATTTATATTTAATATTTTAGGTTATATAGAATATAATATAAAGTATTATAATAAAATTTTAAATAACACAAAAGTTAACTTTGAGTTAATTTTTAAAATATTTTATATATAAATCATATGTTATTATAAATATTAAAAATTTTGAATCCTAAGATTTAAGCAAAATACTTGATCAAATTATACTAATCATTATATTTTATATATTTTATACCAGTCAGAATATTCCAGTTTGACTAAATTTCAGATAGGCATTTTTGATCTGAACTATAACTAAAATCTGTTCGAAATTAACCAAATTTTATTTCCAAACTTTTTTTCGTATATGTTAGAAATCACACTACCACTTGATCAAATTTTGACTAAATTTCGATAAACTTTGGCGATAGCTTTCAGATAAATTTTGACTAACCTTCATTATATCAAAATACTAATTTTTAGCTAGCATTCAATTACTTTTTTAATTTCAAAATTTGTAATAAACTCTTATTATATTTATTAAATTTATGAAATTACAAATTAGCAAAAAAAACTATTTTATTAATTTTAAAATTTTAACAACACATAAATGTATAAAAAGCCTATTAACAAATAATAAAATCTCAACAATCTAAAAAATATAATCTAAAAATTATAATCTAAAAAATATAGCCTAAAAATATAATTTAAATAAAATAATCATTTGTCTTATACTATAATTAAATAACATAGTAAATAAATGAATAATTAAATATTAAATTATATCAAAATTTATAATAATTACCTGCTTTCTCTTTGCCCTTATCTTTCATCAAGGCACTATAAATTATTTCTATAGTAGAAGACTTACTCTGATGTTTCTCTTTTACACTATATATGATATACTGTATATTTTGATTTTCATACGTATCAGTTTTATTTATATCTCCTGTATCAATCATCTCTTCTATATCAGTATCATACACGATGTTACTGGCTTGATCTTCATATATCTAACTTGAAGTATTACTTAGAACAGGAAGGTTAAATGCTGATATGCATCATTATAAATCCTAGGTCTTGTTAGCTGTGCAGTCTGTAAAGTTAATGCATGGAAATCTAGAACATTTCTTAATAGATTCTTAAATTAAAAAAAAATACAAATAAGTAAAACTAAAAATATACAAGTAAGTTTTATTATAAAATGACTATAAGACGAAATTATCAATCAGTATCAAACCTCCTTAGAACTCTAAGAGCAATCATAAACACACACAAGATGTTTGCCTGATAGATTTTTCTTATCGGTTTCACTCAACTCGGATGAATGATACCTTCTGTCTTTTAAATTTCTAAGTAATTCTTCATGATCATATTTGGTTAATTCAGGAATTTTTGTCATAAGAAAGGCTCTCGCGCCTTTTATGCGATAAATTTTTTTCTAATAATCATAATAGAATTCGTTAATGCTGCATAATTGTTAAAAGATCAACTAAATACCAAATTTCATATATCTTTTCATTGTTTATTGATATATAAATGCCAGTCATCGCTGTCGATTCTTCCTTTTTTTCTATAATTATTTCTATTGCGTCTAGACTTATGGAATGACCTGAGCCATTTTGTTAGCTGATTATGCAAAGAAAAAAAATTCAGTTTTAAAGACTTAATAAGTTCCAGAATTAAGCCTCTTCTTATTTCTACATTTGCTTGACTTGAAAATGTTTCATCATATTTTAAGTCGAGTTTGAAAGGAATGGTCTTCAAAATTGCTTTCATTTCCATCTAAATTATAAAATGAAAATTCAATAAATATTAATTAACAAATAATTATTTAAAAGTTATACAGACCCTTACACTTTTTTCGCTCATATCACATGTATTATTGTTGATATCATTATCATCTGAATCACTTTCATTTAAACTACTTTTGTAATCAGATTCAGACCTAGAATGTTTACGTTTACATCTATATATTCACCTTTTCTTTCTTTTTGGCTTTCGAATTTTTTCATGATTTTCATACTATCAATTTTTTTCTGAAATTCATCATTTTCTCGACTGAATTTCTTGTTAACTATCATTAAAGTTTGATTGAATTCTTTCAAGTCTTATATCTCTTTGATGACTCTAGATAATTTTTGGCGTAATTCTTTATTATCAGTTTTTAATATTGCAATTTCTATTGATAATAAAATCTAAAGCATTATGAATTAGAAGTAAATAATAAGTAAATAATTAAGAATCAATAATTAAATCATTTAAAATCACCGCCGCTATCTAATAGTTTCTCAATGTGAGATTCGGCCTAGTTTTGACATAAAATAGTTCTAGGCAGATGAAGATTTAAAATTGATATCAGAACATCATGATTTATATTAAGTTGAGACAGAGTAGAAGATGTTCGTGATGATGATATAGATTGCAAAGGAGAAGGAGTTGTTGTTATTTGTGATGATAGTGTAGGATATTGTGAAGAAGAAGAAATCATTATTATTCGTGATAATGGTATAGGTTATGAAGGAAAAGAGGTCATTATTGTTCATAATGATAGTTTAGGTTATCTCAAAAGGGTAGATTTTAAAGACATTGTGGTTCGTAATGATTTAATTGATGATTTTGGTTTAGTTTTATGTTCTTCTTCCTCTACATCACTAGGAATTACAAGATAGCAATAATCTTTTTTACCTTTACTTTTTACTTTTTGCGACATATCTCTAATCAAAATGTAAATTATTTTATATTTGAAAAAAAGTTATTACTCTTATTAAAATATTATTAAATTTGGATAAATCAAAAAAAAGTTATTACTCTTATTAAAATATAAATTTGAATAAAAATCCAAAAAAATACATGACAAACTTTTCAGAAACTACTTTGCAGAAGAGATCTACTTTTATAGTTTAATTTTGCTTACTAATAAAGTATCAGAAAGTATATTTTAAAGTTTGATAATTATATTAAATAATTTATTTAATTTATGAAATTTGTTTCTAGTTCAATAAATAATTCATCATTTTACTTCATTTTTTTTTATTAATTTTAGTTCAATTAGTCATTCGACATTTAATAAAAATAGTCTAATACTATTTTGGCTCTAGTTTGATAAATAATATATTATTTTCTTTATTGATTTTAGTTCAATAAATAATATAATGACATACTTAGATTAATAAATTAATAATTCATAAGACAAATTTTGAATCGAATTCAAAGAAAAATTGATCAAAACTCTTATTACAAATTATCGAATATTAGCAAAATGGGACAAAAAGGATGATAGCTAGTATATTTGATGAAAATCCTGAAACTACCAAAACTAGTTCTGAAGCTCAATCTATTTAATCAATTGTTCAACTAAGAAAAAATCCTAAAATATCCTGTTTTTGTAGTAATTGTAAGGATCTTTAGTTGATCATCGCATAAGAATACGACATGAACTGTTAGGTGAACTGAATAATTCATATTTTGTAAATGTCTCAGCAGATAACTCATTATCATCACTATCAGAGATTTATTTGCAAGATGAATCATCCGCTGACATTTTAGAAAATCCTGAAGTTTGAACAAATATCAATAATGAATTATATAAATCTACTGCTTTAAACAAACAATTATTATATAAATCTATTACTTTAAATGAGCAAGAAGATAACGATGTTCAAAAGTATTCATATAACTTATTACCATGAAGATGAACGCTAAGACACATAAATCTTTTAGCTAAAGTTTCCATTAGTGATATTAGACAAGTGGACTTGATAACAGAAGAAATAGATCAAATGATGATACTTCTTCAGATGAAGATTTTAATCCAATTGCTGAAATTTTTGAAGATTATTCGTATCCTGATTTTAAACCGCTTCAAGATAAGAAAATAATATCTTAAACAAAGATCGATAATTCGCAATTTCTGTGGATAATATTATGGATAATGAGTTTTCGAACAAAGTTCAACCTTTCAGAAATGGTAACAAAAGTACTAATTAAATTCATAAAACTAGTATTAACAGAAATTAGTGATGCTGAATTTGAAAATTTTCCTGGTTCTTTATATCTTACAAATAATGTTCTTGGATTTAGAGATAATGAATTTATAGCTTTGTATCATGTCTGAAATATTATAAACAATACAAAAAGAAAGAAGTAATAGACTTCTATCAAGATGGAATACTCGTTATAATGAAGTGCAGTTATGTGAAGTATCCAAATTTGATAAAATGTAGAGCACAACAATGTCAAGAGCCTTTATCACATTGAACAAAATTATTAAATGATCAGATTTTAATTACACTTATTTTAACTTATCCGTTTGCTAGAATTCAATAACAATTGTTATTTATGTATAATCGTTTGAATTTTGAAGAATTTTTACACCATTGGTCTAATCGTCAACAATTTTAAAATATATTGACTGACATTTACGATAGCCAAGTTTAATAAACCTTCAAAGATACAAATGAAGAAGGTTCACCTAACTTCTTTTGACCAGAAGTTGCTGATTTGAACCTTAGATTAATGCTAAACCTTGACTGGTTTCAGCCTTATGAAGGTTCAATTTATAGCATCAGTGTAATATATGCCGTATATAATTTACCAAGAGACATGCGTTTTAAGTGTGAAAATATATTAATTATTGGTATCTTATCAGGACTAAATGAGATTAGTTTGCATAAAATTAATCATTATTTAGCTCCGATTGTTGAAGAATTGAAGTCACTTTGGAATGGTGTAACTCTCACTAGTATATACGAATGTCAAAATGAAAAAGAAATTTGAGTAGCATTAATCTTGATCATATGTAACATCCTAGCTGCTAGGAAAATTTGCGGTCATATTTCATCACTTGCTTTATGTCACTAATGCAAAAAGCATGCCAATTATGAAAATAGGCAAAACAACTTTGCAGAAATAGGCAATATGAACGAATGATTTATTGCTAGAGATTTGACAGAATATCGTAAAATGCACTTGATTAGCGATATTACAATTCTGAATCTTCAAGAAAGCAATTTGTTAAAACCACTAAAGCTAGATGGTCGGAATTGCTACGTTTACCATATTTTGATTCTATTTGGTTATTAACTTTTGACCTGATGCATTGCTTATTTTTAAGCATTGCAAAATTGATAGTGAAAAAAATTTGGGTCAATGGGAATATTTTAACACTAAATATTTTAAAAGATGTTCAAAAAATGATGAACAATTTTCAAGTACCATCGATATAGGTCGCATTCCAAAAAAATAGACTGCAGTAAAGGATTTTCAAATTTTACTGCAGATCAATAAAGAATATTTTTTGTAATATATGCGACTGTAATTTTTTAGAAGCACTTTTCAGACTAAAATCAGAGAATTCTTCATCATTTTGTAAGAATTTGCACACTTTTAATAAACCACATTTTAGAAATAAATTCAGTTAGAGATGCATATCAAAGATTGATTGAAATTGTGAAGCTAATAGAAGATACACATAGGCGAAACAAAATCACGTTAAACCTTCATCTTTTGCTTTATTTGAGAGAATGCACTTTTGATTACGGACCTTTATATACATTCTGGTACTTTTCCTTTGAACGTATGAATGGTATTTTAGGTAAATTTTCTTTTTTTTATTATAAATATTAGGCGCATGGAAAAATTTAATACCAAAACTCAGTAACTTTTTGATTAATTTTAGGCAGCTTACTAAATAACCATAGAAAATTGAACTAGAGCTTATGCACAGATTATTGCTTGATAATCACATTAATACTATAAGTTTCAGTTTAAAAATAGAAGGCTCAGAATTGCTTGATAAGTGACCTTCAGTTGGATCTTTATCAGAAACTGATGAATTTCTTCAGGTAAAATAGAACGATTTCAGTTATATTCACAAAATATTCAACAATTACCAATTACTGGATGTGAATCATTTCCAGGTGAAATGATGAAACCTGTTTCTAAAGATTTAATAATTTCAAGTTCAATGCTTGATTTATTAGTTAAATATTATATAGGAACTTAATAAATATTGGAATTTTAAAAGCTATTTGGAAAGGGTCATGAAGATTCAATAGTAATTCCTGTTAAAATAAGCAGTTTCAGAAGATGCAGAATCAGCTTTGAAATATTCAGTTTAATAATGTCATCCTGTTATGTAAAGAGTTCATTTATCTTATTAAAATTTATCAAACATAATGGCACTATTGATTCTTATCCTAGACAGATACAATTCTTTTTTTCTCATAAGATCGATCTAGAAAATAGTAAATGTGAATTAGTTCATAATTTAGCATTCATACAGTAGTATGAACCTGTAAGTTATCAGTATTATTTTAGTATTAATGGTAACGAAATTTGCAATGTTGAACTTTGGGATATTGAATTTTCTCCTGAAAGACGAGATTGCATAATTCTGGTTCATCATATTTTAAGATAGTTTGTACTAGTAAAGTATAAAATTTCGGATAGAAAAAATGCAAAGGAATATTTAGCTGTAAATTTAGTAAATAGAAAATTTAATATTCGTTAAAAATAATAAACAGTATTCAAAAACAAATAAATTTTATACTAAAACCATTTATTAACATTTATAACTTTCAGAATTTTTTATACAGTTCGAAAAAAAATTTCAGAAATCACGTGAGTTTGAAATTGAGTCAAAATTTAGGGTATACCAAATTTTAACTGAAATTTATTCTGAATAGGCATTAACTTTGCCGAAAGTCACATGACTAAAATTTTTTATTTTGACTAGTGTTAGATTATATAGAATATAATATAAAAGTATTACAATAAAATTTAAATAATACAAAAGTTAGCTCTAAGCTAACTTTTTAAACTTTTTATATATAAATTATATATTATTATAAAATATTAATAATTTAAACTTTAAAGTTTGGGCTAAATAATACTAACCATTATATTTAATATATTAGGTTATATAAAATATAATATAAATATATTACAATAAAATTATATATATATATATTAATTTAATTTAAATTTTAAATAAAAAGATAATATTTTATTATAAAAATTTTATTAAATTATTTTGTATCTTTATTAAAATTTAACTTTTAACTTTTTAAACTTTATTTCAAATATTCAAAAAATTTTAATAATTGTAATTTTTACATAGGTAATATATATAAAAGAAGAATTAGAAAAATTTTAAATGAAATAAACATTCTAGAAATAAATAAAATATTGTAATTATTAATATGTTACTTTATCAAACTTATTATATTCAATTAATACTAAATAAAGTATCAAAATTAAAGTTGTAAATATCTAAAATATGATATTTATGAAACAAAATCTACAAATTTATTTAAAATTCCAAAAAGTTTGATTGAAATATTAGAATTAAATAAAGATGTAATGATTTGTAATATTTGTAAAAAAACTGATAATGATTTAGAATATTTACAACATGAAAAATATCAAATACTAATAACTAGAAAATTAATTATAATAATTTTTATAATGAATTAATAAATGATAATAAATATAAAAATACTTTTATATTCAAAACATGAAATTTATTTAAGTAAAATAAAATCAAATAAAACAAAAAATTATACAAATAAAAATCTTACTAAAATTCCAAAAAGATTAATTAAATTATTAAAATTAAATGAATCAATAATGATTTATAAGCTAAAGAATATAAAGTATTAATTATTAA